ACGAAGACAGACTGCTGGAGATTTTACAGTCAGACCAATTGAAAGCAACGAATGACCCTGATAATTCAGCGGGCACAAAAAATGAGAAAGAGGTTAACAAAGAGCTGTTGAGTTTGGAAAAGAGCAATAACATCAGTGAACATCCAAACACCAAATTGAGGTAAGCAGGTTGTCAATCGCATCGTTTGTACGGCTTAGCAAAAGTAATCAAGAAAGAAATACACTGCTATATCTCTGCCTGGAAGTTCATATGAGAACCAGAAGAAACTAATTCAGGGAGAGAACATAGAATCAAAACAATCAAAAAGCACGAAAGATTACTGAGAAGGTTGAATTAGACTTTGATGAGAACATGAACTCTTAGATTTTAATAGTTTGTACACTAATGTTTCACTTAAAGAGGCTATCGAATTATCACTCAGAAAACTTTATGAGTAAGAAAAACCTCCAGACACTATGAAGGGATTGCAAAACCTTGCTGTAGGTCGAGTGCACTTGAATTGCAATATTATTTGTATGTTCTCGGCTGAGTTGGGAGAAAGAAGACAACATTGAAAGGAAATAATATTCTTTCTGAGATTTGTAATGATTTTGCGAGAACTGTGCAAGAAGATCAAGAAGAATTGTTAAAAGCTGGAAATCAATTAAATCCTAATCTATAGTTTACTTTAGAGAAGGTTAACGAGAAAGGCGACTAAGCCTTTCCTGATATGAGTGATATTTGCGGATGTTATCAAAAACCAATTTATACAGGGAATATTCTTAATTTTAGGAACTTTGCTTTACTCCATTATAAAAAGAACAAAAAAAAGACACAATTCATCGAATTTTTAGAAGCACTTCAACTTGAAACCATTTCGATGAAACATGAAGGTAAATGAAAAGTAAATAAAAAACATTCGCTGAATAACCAATACCCAGAATTTTGGACCGATAATATTGTTTCGAGGACACTTAACAGACTCATCAAAGAAAAATACAATAAGAGCCCTGGTAAGGACTTACATCAAGGGAGTATTGATAATCCAGGCACACCACCCATGATGGTGGTGCAGTACCGAGGCAATGAAAGTCCGATGCTGGCTATTAAGGTGCGCAACATAATCAAGGCACCAATTGTTTTCACATCAAAAAATTGAAAACCTGCGTACCATCCTTAAAAGTTTCTTTTTTGCGTGAATTGAAATAACTAAAAGGGGTTTACAAAATTGTAGTAGATGTTAGGGCTTAAGTGTGCGGGTCCTTGGAGACCCACCTGTTTTAAGATAGGGAATGGAATATGCGGTCTCCAAGCTATGTAATAGCATTGGGTGTACATTCCACAATGTATTAAGATAGGAAATAATATTGGTATGGTTTCATGGTTTGTGTAATGGCAAGAGAATGGAAAGAAACTGTTTTGTTTTGGATATTTTTTGGATATTGTGTTAAAATGTTTACCTTTTTTGTAAAAATTGCGCCGCGCGTTATCAATTTGTAAATAATAATGGTGTATTACGTGTAGGTTATGGAATGATGTTTTTTGTTTCATGGTAAGTCAATGGTAAGTTTCAAAACTTGAGATATTTTTATCAAAAAAAAGAAAACTTTTCAAAAAACTTCAAAACATGATAAGATTTGATATAACTTGACTTATAATCTAATTTATTAGATAATTTTTTTAAAAACAGTGTACTATCTTCCTGAAACTATGTTGAAACCTACTGGAACTTCAGAAAAAATTAAGTTTTTCGAGAAAAAAAATAAATTGCGAAGAAGATATATGAATGACTAAATCGTTGAGTAAATTTACTGCCATAGTTTACTCTCACAAATAAAAATCTATTTATTTTCTTAAATTTAATTAGGAAAATCAAAGCATGCACATAATGAATATTATTCAAGTTTCTCTGGTAGAACTTAAAAAGGAGAAATGCTAAATAAATTGCCTAAAACTCACTTAAATTATCAATTTATTGTAGATTTCTGGGAGCCATTCACCGAAAATTTTTTAATAGAAAGGAATAAACTGTTCTTTTTCGAACCAGAGAATCAGCAAAGTAGTAAGTTTTGTCCAGTCGAGCAATCATGACCCAGTGTTCTCCTCTATCTTTCCATGGAGTTCAGTTGATGATTGCCAAAGAGTATTTTGTTAGTTGAGGTACTTTACCAGAGGGGTAAGTTCCCATGTACTTAAACCTGAGCTTATTTATTCTTTCAATATTATGCAGAAAAAAATATCAATCTTTTCAACTGTTTGTTGATTTACATCTAAAAACGACGAAATTGATATCTTGATAATGCAATTTAGGATTTTATAAAAAAGTAAGATCAATCACTTACTTTTAGCTATTGAAACAAGAAAGTCTCATACACAGGTCTTAGGAACTGGACAAAGGTTATTTCAAAATGAGAAGTACTGAATAAATTGCATAAAGTCCACACAAATTATCAGTTTTTTGTAGTTTTCTGGGAAATTTTCAAGTATACTTTTTTGTTAGAAAGGATTAAGCTATTCTTTTTCGACCCAGAAAATCAGCAAAGTAGTAAGTTTTGTCCAGTCGAGCAATCATAACCCAGTCTTCTCTTCTATATCATCAAAGAATGTATTCTTTTAATGTCAAAAGAATATTGAAGACAATGTGGACCTTTTCCTTTCATCATAACCTTTGTTTGATTTTGTTCTAAATTACAAGCAAAAAAGTGACTTAGGTCAGAAGTTTGAATAAACAACACTGATTATTTCTCAGGTAAATAAACGGCAATTTTTTGTGAATTTTTATCTAATGATACAAAGATTCCGTTATATTCAAATGATTGAGCACCTAGACGTTCTCGATTTTTGTTTTTCATGGCTACAACTATATCAACAATACTTGGATGCAATCCTGGTTCAATAGGCATCGGTTTAACCTTTCTTTTCTCCTCAGGACATTCTCTGCCATCTACGAACGTAAACTTTCCCTCAGTAACATTTTGGTATGATGTTTCTGAAATGGTAAACTCCCATTCTCCTTTAAAAATCAATTTGCTCGCTGTTAGAAACTAACTCAGTAGTAAAAAAAATCCATGAAAACTGATCGATGGAAAATTACTTTAAAAAATGATTCACCTTTAATCTGAACTTTTTCTCTGTAAACTGTGGTTTGTACCTCTTTCGAAACAGAATATCGTTCTTTGAAAATCTAGCACTATCTCCAATTTTAATTTTCATTTTCTTATAACTTGTTAGAGGTTTATTGCACACACTTCAGAGTAAATCAGTGTTCTTGACATCTCTAGGTGATTTCCCAGCAGATCTATTGACACGACAATTCATTGTAGACACCAATTGAGGTAACTTGAGAATGAATTTTCACCATGATGTTTTATGTAGCAGTACACCATGTGTTTTAATGACTGAATGGCTCTCTCTGCAAATGCAGCCTTTGTTTCCGTCATTGTTTTTTAAATTTCAATGTCTTTCAACTTGCAAAAGTTTTTTGAAAGTTCCCCATACTCTGTTCCTTTATCAACCCAAATTTTTAAAGGAGTGTTTTTTTGAGTAATTAATTTTTTCAAAAGCTCGCAAAGTGTCAATGGCATATTTTGTTTTTATTGTTTGAACTCTGAAAAATTGCTGAAAATCATCAACGACAACCAATAAATATTTGACTGCATTGTTATGACTCGCTAGTTTGTCCACAAAAAGCCAAGTCCATACACCAAATTTCATTGATATATTTTGAAAAAATTTGAAGTTTTCAGAAACGTCTGATTGAAGGACCAAATTTTGTATACGATTTCTTGGTTTGTAAATATTGCTCTGCTTTCTTTTTTTTGACAAACCGCTTTCAAAAACTCATGATAAAACAAAATGATAGCTATGATTTACATTTTACCTACAAAAACATGCAAATGCTTTTTTTCTGCACAGTGAAGAGTTTTTGCGTAACAAAATGGTTACTTACTACACCTCCAATAATATTCTTCATCTGTGAAAATCAACTTATGACTTTTTGGACAGGCGTAGTCATCTAAGTTTGAAAACTTTGTTTCCAAAACTTCTCATAAAATTTCACATTTTTCATAACTTTTTGCAGAAAACTCCGTTTCTAGAGCTTTTAATTTTTCAATACTTATTCAAGCTCAGCAAATTTTTCATAACCCTTGTTCCATATGATTTCATGAAGATACTTCGTACACCAAGCAAATTGAGATGTTGCTTGAAGTTTTTGGGAGGAAGAAAGGAATATCCCACTGTTGTCCATTTTTATAAAATCCTAACCCTTTCACTAGTTTGTTTTTAATACACTCAATATCCAAAACAACCAGACTCATGATGTTAGTTATTTTCACTGATGTTTTTGGTTTAAATGACTAAGAATCAAACAATGCAATTACTGTTGAAGAAAAAATTGATTTATAAACAGAAGAATAGTTCAGTCATGTGACCAAGAAAACTGCAACTAGAAAATCTAGAATCTATGTACAACAAAACAATATCCAGTTCCCTTACGCGTAGTACGATTCAGAGACCCAGCTGCTTTATATAAAAATGCACGAAATCTGAAAATTTTCGAATTTGCAAAAAAAATAATCCCCCCAGGAATTTCCGTATCCAATTGGACCCCAAAAAAAACTTTTTCGTCCATTTCTTTCAAATTTGTGTTTGGGTCCAAAACAATACACGTACAAGGAGAAAAAATATTTCTTTTTTTATTTGATGAAAACTCATGAAAGAGTTCTATTCAATTTATGAAAGTTCGTTTTCTACAGTAAAATTGTCAATAATCATACTAATTTTCTTGAATGTTTCAACATAAGACAAAAACGAGGGGATAAAATCAACCAATTTATGATACTCCTAGTTTCCAACTGATATTTTCGATTGTTTTTCCAAGTGTTTTCTTTCATAAGATATTCTATAAGATCTATTTCTTTATTACCTGAACGAGAAATTAAAAAAATTTTACGTCTTCCATAATGCAAAGTCCACTCAAAGCTCAAAAAAATTGTGATTCTGGATCCAAACCTTGCAAATTTAATAAGCGTCGATACTCTAAAGCTGTTAGCGAAATTTTATCGGACTTTGCTTGTAAAATACTACGAAAAAGTCCCAATATATTTTGAAGCCTTGAAACAAGATTTCTGGAAAAACCAATGTTCCAACTCATACTGCTCAACTAAAAGAAATTAAAAAAAAAATTTTTTAAGAAGATGAATATTTGAATTACATGAATAAATTAACATCACTCAATGAAACTATCGAAAATAGCATTTTTTTACAAAGATAAAGTCTCCCAAGCCATGAGCAAGTTCTTTGAATTCGTTCAAAGTATAGTTGTCATAGGCAACTTGACTCAAGACTTCGTTCTTCTTTGCAGTGAAGAGTCGAATCTGGACAAAGGGTGGCTTTTTCACACTGTACTTTTTGATTGTGACACACCCCCTTCTCATCTTTTATGTTGCTATATCATACACCGCATGACAGTTCACATGTTCCTGCTCCCTGGTTGAGTCTTTGTCAGAATAGGGTTCCAACAGAGGAACGAGTCCAAGATTTTCAGCATCGTGAAAAACAGTTTTCTGTCATGCTGATATTCTTTCTCCTTTTCTTATCACCGTAGACTTGCTGGGATTTTTCGATTTGTCCCGATTCATTTTTCCCGGATTTTTGGGAGAAAGAAAATTTCCCCATTCTTTTCTGATTTTCAGCATTTTCAATATTATTGGGAAGGATTTTTTTTTGTGAATACTTGATTAGTTTGAGAAGCCAACTGATCAGTAGTAAATATTTCAAAGTATGATTTTTGGAAATATATGGAAAAAAGGAAACGTAAATCACTCCCCGTACATTCAAAATAAGACATTTTTTGTTCAAATACAAAAATGAGTAGGTGATGAAGCAAATATGGACATTACGTTGGTGCTAGAACTACTATATAAGCAACTCAATGTGGACAAAACAACTAATCTATGATGGCATCTTCTATGTGTCAAGCATACTCCGTTTTTTTTTCGAGTTACAATGCAGAATCTTTTTTTAACTGTCTAAGAAAATTTTATGAAATTTTAATTGTTACTCAAGACTACTAAGTATCTAACCATTCATCTTTCTGCCTAGTAGAAAATTGCAAGTTTCCTTAATTCTTTAAAGGATCATCACTCAATCAAATTTTGCAAAGGTTAGATAAATTTCATTTCATTTACCAATTTTGTGACTGTATTAATACTTTGTACAATAACAGCTTTTACTCCAATATTATTTCATCAAAAGGTGAAGCTTTCAATCAAATGAATCGTGCAAATGTTTTGGTTTTCTCAACAAGTGTGCAGAAATTTTTATGAAAATTTTGTGTAAGATACAAGTTTTTTGTGGTTTTTCAGAAAACAGATACTGCCAAAACCTAGCTTTTTTCTCATGCATTTACCAAAAACACAAAATTTGATTGTACAAAAAAACTTTATTGTACGTTAATTTATTGCTAAGTTTCTTGATTACTGATAATTTAAGTGCTATTGCCTATCTTAATACACTGTTTTTGGGATGTTTTTGATCAACATACATGCAAAAAATGAATTTTTTAATGATCGAAAATAGTGGAAAGAATTCAGAATTTTTAATTGTCAATAATGCAAGAAAATTAATGCAATTTTTCTTAAAATGCAAATTTTTTTTATTTTTGGTGCAAAAATTATGGTGCAAAAATTGGCTTGTTGCAAAAATTATATTAAAATTTTTAACATGCGTGCGAAAACTGTAAGGATTTATTTATCATCTGAGCGAAAAAAACATTGTGAACCTTTTCACAAGATGTTAAAACTGATTTAAAGTTTTTACCATATTTGCATTAACATTTCGTAAAAACATTCGCCAATTTCAAAATTAGTTTGATTTTAATCCGTGTGCAAACAAACTTTAACTAATTTTTTATGACCTCTTACCTTATCTCTTGGTTCCTATCTCTCAAAAATAAAATTACTAGATGCAAACAAAACTAAATTACAAAACACAAGACAACAACCAAGTTAATTACTAATCAAAGAGCTGTCAAGCAGCTGATTTCTCAAGATTTTGAAGATTCTCAATGCAACGCAAAGCTGGTCTTGCCTCCATCGCCGGTGGTTGTGTTGGTGATTCGCTGACAGGAGTCATTGGCTCAGAGAACCCATCATCCTCTTCGATGGTAATTGGTTTCTCCACAGAACCCTTTTCCCAAGGAAAGGGGAATTCGTCGACTGGTTGAGCCGCATGTCTAGAGTCAGGAGTGTTGGGGTAGTTCATTCCCACAGGCTCGTACACATCCTCCACCTTTTGCATTCTTGCAAGTTGGTTCACTGTGATGGGTACTTGCGTCATTTGATGTTCGTTGAAAACTCTTTGCATCACCTTCACCATGTGCCAGACTTTGATTGGGATGTCCATTCGGGCCGAAAATACTCCAGAGACTTTTTCTCACACTTGAATTTGTACTAGATCAGGCAAAAATTCTACAGAGTACAGAAAGTTGCTGTTTTGCACTGAAAAGATCTTTTTGAGCAATAAGTTGAGAAAAAGATACAGAGTAAAAACAAGAAGGATTTAGAGAGGAGGTAGTTGACGGTAGTTGAGTTGAAAATAAAATGATTTTTTTTTAAGAATGAGGAGTACCTTCAACTCAAAATGTGGGTTTGAACACTTTGGGAAGAAATGATTTTATTCAAATGTTCAGTAGTCGTATCTAATCAGATTTTAATTTCCTTTGAGATAATTTTTGATAGGGATGTTCGATGTAAGGCGTTTTTGACAATTTCTTGTTTCCAATTACAAAGACCGTTCAATTACTTCAGGTTTCCGTATCCAATAAAAAACTTCACCTCTTAGGACCTAAGTTTACCAAATATGCAACAGTTTGCTGTAAAAAAAAAGAATTATGGCCGATATAAATAACAAAAAAAATCAAGTTGCGTCTCTGCAAATTTTCTCAGCCAGTCAATTGAATTTTTAATATATAATCAATGAGAAATTAATGCGTTTTGAGTAGAAAGTCAATTTCTTCAATTTTGATGTAAAATTTAGAAGATAGCTCAAAATGGATGAATTTTTCAAAGCAGATCTCTGGAAATCTCATTCCAAATCTAATCAGGCAGGATTTTGAACTTTGAAAACCTTTAAAAGAATGAAGAAATAAAGAATTTTGCTGGGGAGTTTTGACAAATTTGGGAATTGGGTAGGGAATAAAAAGGTTCTTTGAAATTTTATCAGATGACTTTTTTTTAACTTCAAATTTTCCAACAAAAAAAACTTCTTGTCTTGTCAAATAGGTTTCAACGTTAGCTTAAAGCTTTGCTACTCATTACTCGGTTCAAAAATATACTCTTTGGTTGTATAAGTTTCCCTGAATAGACCTTTGCTTAGTCAATGAACTCTATTTTAGACAAAATAAATGTCCAAAAAATAAGAAAAAAGTAAGATCCTATATCTATTTCATCAATAAGGAAATCGCACCGAAGATTTTCTTTTTTCTTCCAGAGTGAATCCAGAAAAATCAAAAGCGATGACTTCATTACCACAAAAGGAAAATTGCGTGGGTGGTGACGTCACTTCTATTTAAAAAATGACGTTATTACCATGAAAGAAAAATTGCCTGGATGATACCGCCACTTCTACTTGAAGAATGACCACACTGCCATAAAACAAAAATTGCGTTGATCGTGACGTCACTTCTACTCAAAGAATGACGTCATTTCCATAAAAAGTTAATTGCGTGAGCGATGACGTCATTTATAGTATGAAAGCGCGTATTTTAATTAATCAAATCAATAATTTCGTTTGCCAATCAAAAACACTCAATTAAATCTTACTTCAAATTTTACAATTCTTCACTTCGCCAAAAGAGAAAAGTAAGTTTTTTTATTTAATCATTTGATACTTTAAACTTTTTGTTTTGGAAAATTTCTAAAGTCCCAGTTTAATTCTTTTCCTAATTTCGAAACGAGAAAGTTAATTGTGGAGACTGTGGAATCATGGATGTTCGCCAGCACGCAGCTCGACACCGGAAAAATTGTTCTAAATAGTAACATCTTGTCCTGATTGTAAGTATTTCACTTACAGTCGTTAAGAAAAGAGCTATCATATGGCCCAGAAGCATGCTCAACCATGCTCGAAGCAGTCGACGGTTTGTCCTTCTTGTTAACAAGAGTTGCCAAGTTATTACTTTCTCCAACAACATCGGAGAAACGAACATTCGGTTAAGCAACGGAAACCTAGTGATACGGTGGCTGAACTGAAGAAGATTGTGGAGGAAGAAGAGTAAGATGGTGAAAAATTTAAGGAGGAACTCAGCGCTTGTCATCATTTTCTAGTGGATACGGAGATAAAAATGGGAGAAATAAGATATTTAACTTTCAAATGTCCAAGTTAGGTACTAAAATAGTCAACGAGAAACCAGAAGAAGTCTTCAACAAGCTCGATTCTGCGGCAAAAATCACCAGGGTTTGTTCTTCGAAATATTGAGACCGGTGAATATTAATATTTTTACGCCCATGAAAACAGTACATTTTTTCAAAAATCCCATTTGCTGTGTACTAAAAAAGACTTGATAACAATTCAAGGGAAAGTAGAAAAATTTGATATAGTGGAGCAATGTACCCAGGAATGTCAGAACACAAAATGGAAATTCAAGTTGATTACTAACGTTACAATTTTTGCTGCTTTGTTCGAAAAAATCCCAAAGGGATGTCCGCACACTGTTTTGCTGCTTTGTTCGAAAAAATCCCAAAGGGATGTCCGCACACTGTCTAACAAAGACAAGCAACCATACAAAGATCCTTTGTGTCCTTTCCGCGCCTTGGCAATGTTCATGAACGGACACAATGATCTCGCCTTTCACACTTGTAGATACTCTACAGATTTCAAAACAAAGTCTGGTTTTGATCTTTAAAATTTTCGTTGATTTTTCGCCGAAGACTTACCTGTTGTCGAGAAAATTTTGCACAGAAACATCTTTATTTACGATTTCGATAAACGAGAAATTGAATATGTAGGAAAACTAGCTCAATGAAGAATT